TCAGGCTCCAATCATGGAGTAAAAAACTTCGGCTACCGCAAAAGGTACTGGAAAAACTGTGAGTGGTCAAAAAGCCGCTTTTCGCTCTTTTACCGTTCCAGGGATTTTACGAAAATTAAGGGGTCCTCGTGTTCTCTGGTCCCAGCTCATGCCGGGCCTTTGCTGTAATGCAACTTTAATGAAAAGACATCTTAACATTTATTGTGGTCCGATATTGTATGGAGATGAGCGCAGATGAACAGATCACAGGATAAGATGATTACAGACATTTTACAGCACACTTTGCAAGCAGCAAATCATCATCAAGCAATTTTGAATACTTTTAGTTACAAATCGAACGAAGCAAAACACCTGGATTACACGCTGAGAAAACTGGAGGATTATATAAGTACCCGTGCAACTATCACATGAGAAAAAACAGCCAGGTAGTCACACCATAGGTGTTCGTGCTCCAAGATTCTCCATGGCACTATGAATACGGAAGTGCAGTTTATTCTCCAGTGGGAATCCTTTGAAGCTTCGCGCCTTTGCTAGAAGCACTTCCGCCTCTTCGCGCATCCCGTCAGCAACTCGAATAAGAGCGAGCTCGTAAAGAGCGTTGGGTGGCAGGTATGCAAAATCAACGAGATCATCTTCTCTGAAAAAATAGGATTGTATATCTATTTAGCCATTTACCTATCACTAGTAATTTCGCTTTTCAAGCAACCACTTTCATAAGACAAAGATTCGTAGAAGATCTTGAGAGCTCGAAGCTCGAAGCAGCTTTACTAACGAGTTCTCAGCAATTTACTAAAAATTACTACTCATGGTTTTCCACAATCAAGTTTCGCTCTTTTTCTAAATTTTTGTAGCAGTTTCTTGAGGAGGTCCAAGCAACGCGAAATAGAGCAGATCTTACAGATTAGAGAACAGTCTGCTGCTTCTATCAACTCACAATAATTTTTCAGTAAACTTTTTATGAGAACAATCGAATCTTAACAAGCCCACCCCACACACGAGACGTCAAAGAATACCAGCTAATCATCGAATTTGAATTTTTTAACGGTGACTATGATTTAACACTAATTTAACCAAGCAAATGGGCGTTTGGCAAAATATCCAATTCCCGGTTACGGGCTGAAAAATTCAGAAACCTGGGTTATAATGATGTTGTTCCAAAAACTTCACGAAACAGGAACAAAAAGCATAAGGAAGAAAGGCTGCTCCGAATGATACTCGAGTTGCTAGCCGCGTGATGTTCTATGAGGTTTTATTCGACCAAATATGGAAAGTGACAGCAGAAATAGTTCAATATTAGAAAGGCAAACTCTGGTAGGGTTTTGTGTCCTATAAGGGTTTGCTCTATCCATTCCAAATTTTTTTTTCAGTTAAGTCACAAATTTAGCGGATCTTGACCATAGATAATATTTCACCACAGACCATACCATAGACCCTTGACATACTAATGCTACTTCTACTTATCTCTGCACGAAAAAAAGCAATTGCTCAAAAATGAAACGCTTTCGGGACGATATCTCTTGCACAAAATGCCAAGAAGCGTAGTTTTTGTTCTTCTTATCATGATATGTAAGCGTGAACTTTGTTCTCACAAATACACTGTCGATAAAGTGAAACATATGAGAACAGATGATACGTTCTATTTTTTGAAATGTATCGCATGCGATTACGACAGATGTAATAGTTAGATGGTTAGATGGAAAAATTATCTCCCTTAA